GTGCCCCTTTACCAAGTTATTCAGGTCAAAGCAAATATGAAGCAACATGAGAGGATTTTTCACTTTTCTCCCTTAATAAAAATCCTACATTCAACCCTATACTCATATTATTTTTTAATACTATGCTTTAGTTTCAGAACTAGATTGAGAATACTCAACACAGTCCAGATGGAGGTTAAAGAAATGTAGTATCAACTTTTGTTTTGTTTTGTTAATATTTTGCTATGAAAATATATCAAGGGCTGGCCGAGTGGCTAGTTGGTTAAGAGTTGGCTTGGGACGCCAGCTCTGGGCAGCAGAGCTCTGGTTTGGATCTCACATGAGGGCCAGTGAAACTGCCCTCTACAGCTAAGATGGTGAACAACAGCTCAACCTGGAGCTGGGCTGCCGTGAGTTGCTGGCGACGGCATAGGCTGCAGTGGGTCTGCAATGGGCTGCTGTGAGCTACCATCAGTGGCCGGCAGCCAGCGTGAGCAGCCGGCAGCCAGTGTAAGCTGCCATGAGCGGCCGTCCAATGGCCGGCGACCGATCTGCCTCATCTGGGAAGAGCACAATGATCACAATACTAACATAGGCCAGTGAAGCGACGTCCTCCACAGCTACACTGAAGAACAAAAGGACAGCAACTTGTCTGTTCCCCTTCCCTGATTCCCCAACACTGTTCCCTCCCCCAATTCCCCAATAAAATCTTAAAAAAAATTTTTTTTAATAAAAACATATCAAATATGGACATAGGTTGTTTTCATGTCTCGGTTATTGTAAATAATGCTGCAGTGAACATGGGGTGCAGATATCTCTTTGAAACACTGATTTTGTTTCCTTCAGATTCATACCCAGAAGTGGGATTGCTGGATTCTATGGGAGTTCTATTTTTAATTTTTTGAGGAACCTCCAAACTGCTTTCCATAGTGGCTGCACCAACCTAAATTCTTACTAACAGAGTAAAAGAGTTCCCTTTCTCCACATCCTTGCCAGCACTTGTTATCTCTTGCCTTTTTCAAACTGACATTTTTTTTTTTTTAGCTGAGCCATCCTGCCACCTGTTGGCAGCTCAGCTCGGGCTGGGAATCAAACCGCTGTTGCTCAGAGCTCGCACTCTTGAACGAGCTCTTAACCAACTGAGCCACTCAGCCGGCCCTTCTTGCCTTTTTGATAATAGCTGTCCTAACAAATGTGAGGTGATGTCAAAGTGGTTTTAATTTGCATGTCTCTGATGATTCATGTACCTTTTGCCCAATGGCATGTCTTCCATGAAATGGTATGAAATATCCATTTAAGTCCTCTGCACGTTGTTTAATCAGATTATCTTTTTTGCTATTGAGTTGTAGGAGCTCCTTAGATATTTTTTATATTGACCCCTCATTAGATAGTTTGTAAATATTTTCTCCCTTTCCACAAGTTGCCTTTTCATTTTATTGATCATATCCTTTGCTGTGGAGAAACTTTCTTGTTTAATTTAGTCCCATTTGTTTATTTCTGCTTTTGTTGCCCATGCTTTTGGTGTCATATCTAAAAATCATTGCCAAGACCAATGTCAAAAAGAAATATTATTCAGCAATAAAAAAGAAGGAAATTCTGCCATTTATGACAACATGGATGAATCTGGAGGGCATTATGCTAAGTGAAATAAGCCAGACACATAGAGACAAATACAGTAAAACCTTGGATTGCAAGTAACTTGGTTTGCGAGTGTTCCTCAAGACTAGCAAAGATTTCTATTAGGTTGGTGCAAAAGTAATAGCGGTTTTTGCCATTACTTTTAACTTGGTAAACGAGCAATGTCTTGCAATATGAGTAGTTTGTTTCTGGAACTAATTATGCTCGCAAACTGAGATATTACTGTAATAGGTAACCTCACGTATAAGTGTAATTAAAAAAATTAAATTTATAAAAACAGAGTAGAATGGACTGGGGGGAGGAATGGTGAGATGCGGATCAAAGGGTTCAAGGCTTCAGTTATACCTAAGATGAATAAGTTTTGAGAATCTAATGTACAACATAATGGCTATAGTTAATAACACTGTATTGCATATTTAAAACTGGCTAAAAGAGTAGATCCTAAGCATTCTTATCACACACACAAATTATGTGAGGTGATGGATGTGCTCATTAAGCTAATTGAGGTAATCTTTTTACAATGTATTATCAAATAATCATGTTGTACATTCTGAATATCTACAATTTTGTTTGCCCATTAAACCTCAATAAAGCAGGAAAAATTAAATTAAATTAAAATAAGCTGTATTCTGCTTGAAGCAATGGGGATTCTTAAGAAAGAAGTGTTTTATTATTTCTTGAGGACAGTGCAAAAAAACCAACTTTCATATTTTTGATAAATTATTTTAATTCCATTAGAAATTTGGAATTTCTCTCACCAGGTCCATTTATTTATGCTGCTAACAATTTAATCATAGATGACGAGTAAAGTGAATGCTTTTCCTGGGGTTTATGAAGCCTACTTTGTGTCCTGCACTGTGCCTGATACCTGATGAAATCACAAGTCCTGGGCAGTCATGTCCATTTGAGGAACTTAAAGAAAATCACTCTGGTAAATATTCACCTAGTTCAATAATTAATGTAATGGCATGATGAAAATCCTTTAGAAACCTTTATTTTTATACATCAAAGCTTAAGTGGTGTAACCAACAACAATAGATTATCTCTGGAAAATGTATTAAAAAAATGAAAACCCAATTGTACATTGAACGTTCACTGTTGTTTCCGAACAAATTCCTCTTGAGACAAACATAATTAAGCCATGCAGTGGATGCAATCCCTCTGGTCTCCAGTCAGAATAGAAATACTGCTGACTCCATCATCATGTTATAATTTGGACTTGTAGGAAGTCTAGAAGCCCAGCAAGGAAAAAAAGTTTACCTGTGGTTCTAGGTATGTTTTCCTATTAATAAATTCCTGTAAAATTACATTGAGGTTGTGGAAAGGAAATTCTTAGTTTTAGTTTTCCTGGTTTTTAGCTACCTATTCATTCTTTTCAAGTGAAATTGTATAAAAATATGTATGAAAGGATGTGGGGTACAGCATAGGGAACAGAGTCAATGGAATTGTAACAGCTATATACGATGTCAGAGAGGTAGTAGACTGGGGGAGGGAGGTTATCACTTTGTCAGGGGTGTAAAGGTCTGTACACCTGAAACTAATAAATAAATAAATACTACAACCTAGTAAAAAATATGTATGAAAATGAATACACAAATGACTGGAAATATACTCCCTTCCTAATGCTTAAGTGTGTCTTTAAAGGGCTGTGACATCTAGAAGGCCAGAATATAGCACCTTTATATTTTACTCTATACACTTCGGTTTTATGTGACTCCTTTACAATTAGAATGCCTTCATATATTACTTTTATAACAGCCTGTGTATATACGAATATCAAAAGATAAAACAAAAAAATTCAGATTGTGTAGCTTAAACCCATTTTCTCTAATAAATGTCTGTGAAAAAAAATCATAAGATCCAGAATTCAAAATCGGGAAGGAATATTGCATCCATTTTAATTGGGCAGTTATTTAGAAAGCTCTTGTTAAAGGAATCCAAGTGCGTATAGGTTATCATGTCAGATCACTGATCCTAGGAAAGCTCATTTTTCTGGGGGGTGATAGAGACCTGTGCTAGGTGACCAGATTCCTTTAATGTGGTCTCTGCTCTCTCTATTTTCTCCACAGATGTCTGGCTCTAAGCTTATGAGTGGAAACCAATCCTTCTGCACCAGATTCACATTTGTGGCATTTTCCTCTCTAGCAGAGTTACAACCCGTGCTCTTCATTGTGTTCTTAATCATTTACCTGTTTACTGTGGGAGGAAACCTCATCATCATCTGCCTGATCTGGGTCACCCCTTCCCTGCACACTCCCATGTATTTCTTCCTGGTTAACCTCTCCTTTCTGGAGATGTGCTATATCACCAGTGTTGTGCCTCAGATGCTGGTCCACCTGCTTATGGAGATCAAGACCATAACTGTGGGAGGCTGTGCAGCTCAGATGTATGTGTTTACCATCCTGGGACTGACAGAATGTTGCCTGCTAGCGGCCATGGCTTATGACCGCTTTGTAGCTATTTGTTACCCATTGCATTACTCTCTCCTGATGAGCCCGCATGTGTGTTTGAAATTGGCTGCAGCATCTTGGACCACTGGGGTGGTGGTGGAGTCAATCCAGACCACCTGGATCTTCACTCTGCCCTTCTGTGGAACAGGAAAGATTCAGCACTTTTTTTGTGACATCATGCCTGTAGTGAAACTGGCTTGTGTTGATACCTCCCGTAATGAGATTGTGATGTTTGCTGTCTCCGTGCTCTTCATTATGAGTCCCTGTTTTCTCATTCTGTGCTCCTATGTGCGCATTTTTGTGACCATCTTGAGAATCCCTTCAACAGCTGGCAAACGCAAAGCTTTCTCCACTTGTTCTTCTCACATCCTGGTGGTTTCTCTGTTCTATGGCACTGCCCTGTTCACTTATCTCCAACCTAAGACTGCACACACTCCAGAAACTGACAAAGCAACCGCCCTCATGTATACAGTTGTCACACCTGCTCTGAATCCTGTTTATCTATACCTTGAGGAACAAGGAAGTAAAGGAAGCCTTTCAAAGAGTAACACAAAGGAACTCTCTTAGACAAACGGCCTAAACCAGGCATAGTAAACAAACTATTGTACAGAGAGGTTACCCAAGGTTTTATGATCCCTCTACAAATATATTTTTTCATTTAAGTATTTATAGCATAGTAATCAGAACACACACGGATCTGTTCTACATTTTTCAATGTGTTTAAGCAAAAGCGGACTATCATTCATTCAATCAAGAATATTTAATCAACATAATTACTGAGCAGCTCTTGTGTCCTGGACACCATTCAGTTTTTCCTTCTACAATGGTAATAGGACTAAAATGTTTCCCATCATTTTACTAAGAAAAATGAAATGTTCTTCATGTGGAAAAAATTAAAAGTGAATAGAAAGTAATTAATACATTTTTAGTGTCAAATATAGGCTGTTAGAATTTAAGTTCTTAAATGGAGCACATACTTTTAATTACTCTGCTCTGTATATATCCTAATAATCATGCATCTTAAATAATTGATGTTAATAAATACTGATGAGTGATGTACACTGTAACACTATAACACAGCTCTAAGTATTTAACTTGTAAATCTAGTGAGGGACCCTGATTGTTTATCCCAAACTAGATTCTTCCTTTGCTCTTATCCACTTATTCTTTGGTTTTTCATTAATGTGAAAATATATTAAGTGGATAAATACATATTTGCTAGGTGAATGATAAAAATATGATGCTGTTATACAACTTTTCATCTAATTTTAAAATTGTGAATATTTTACACCATTTCCTGTATTCCTTTGTATTGAATGCATAGTGCATTGCTTTGTTAAAATTATCATTGTAGTCCAATTATCACCCAGGTCCTGTTTTTCAGGAGAGCAATGATCAGAATCTGGAATGCTTACCTATCGAATTACAACTGGAAAGGATATATCTGGAGATTTTAAACTCAGAGACTTACCATCACTGCAAATATAAGCTGAACAAATATATTCATTTCCTGTAACTGAACAATAAATGTTCAATGTGAGTGTATATTCTCTCATATTGAGAAGTGAATATTTATGATGTACATGAGATACTGTGACAACCTTAGATGAGAGAAGCTTCACAAGAGTAGAATGACAGAAGACGCCATAAGCACTACCTATATAATAGCAAGGCCTTACCCCTTCCAAAGCTGTCTCTTAGAAGTCTCTGAGACACATAACAAATAATTCACATGTAGGCATGTGCGCAAGTACATGTACACACACACACACACACACACACACACACACACACACACACCAGTCCAGCAGCTGCCAGTCACCACAGAGTGTCTGATCTCTTACATTGTTTTGCTTTCATTTTAAAACACTCACTCCTTTGCAAAACCACTTAGAGAAGCTTTGCTGTTATTCATTACCAAGCTATTAAAAAATCCATGCTTTAGCCAGAAGTCATGTTTCTGGATATGTTCAACCTCCAGCTCTCCAGGATTACAGAATGATGCTGAATTTCTAGAAAAAGAGCTGAAAGAAATCTTTTTACCAAACGTGTCATTTTATTGCTTGAGCTTCAAAGTAGTTGTTCCCCAAATTAAAAGTTTAAAGATTATGTTCCACACCTATCCTAAGAGACAAATCAATACTGACTACTGGTTTAGAAGATTGAGGAGAGATTCTAAAAAACAACCTCAAAAATGCCCTATTGTAAAATATGGAAGGAAAAAGACATGTACAGACATTGAGTTTAAGTAATAAATAGTATGAACACCACTGAGATATTTTCCGACACATGCCTACTTCTCTGAAATTTGCCCAGCACTCAGAAAACCCATTTTAAAACTACTTGACATCACTTCCATAGGCCAAACTGATTTTAAGTACCAGAAATCTCCAGTAGTCAGACTTCCAAAATGACAAAACCTGATATTACAATTATCATTCTATGTTTTTAAGATAATAAACCATTTTAGAAATAATGTAATGATGTTGATATTACATGCTGTTTCCTCTCCCTAGAATCTCCCTCTCCAAAAGCTATCCCCTTCATTTAATTAATACATGTTCTTCCTTCAAATCGCAACTCAATAATTGCCTATTTATGAAAGCTTTCTTTTATCTCTATAACTACATCTTTTCTTTCTATTATTTATTTTGTGACATTGTCCCATTTTCCTTAGGCCCTAAGTTTCCTTTTCATATTTACAGTGCTTGAATTGTGCATTTAATTGTTTGTTTTATTAATATCTGCATTTTCAGTAAATTGGAGATTCCTGAAGGTAAAGACATGTCTTATGTATTACTGTATCCCAGAATTAATTCAGAGCCTGATAAGAATAGGTATTTGACTAATTGTCAAAATATTAATAAATAAGTAATAAATGAATGACAAAGTTATTTTCAGAGCTTTAACTCATTTGAGATATTCAAGTATATAATCCTTCTCCAAATTGCTTGTTATTATTATCCCACAGATCTGGTACTTTTCAGATCTCCTATATAATTAGACATTATGAGCATATAGATCTTCACCTCAAGCTACCTGTCCTTACAGGAGAATGGACAATAATTAGATAGAATATTTATTTGGCACCTACTATATACCAGGCATTGTCCCTTACAAAGTCTATCTTCTTTGTATCTCACAACAGTACTACAATGAGAATATGATCTCCATTATAAAGGTGAGAAAACTGAGGCACAGAGAATTTTAAAAACTTGCCAATGAGAGACTCATGATCTTAAAGATTACACTATTATATATATGTGTATGTGTGTATATACCGGGGTGCCAAAAAAAAGTATACATCTGACTTGTATTCATCTTTTGTTATCAGTATACATTGAGAATTACAATTTTAATACAGTTTTTTCCTTTCTTAAAATGCATATACATTTTTTGGCACCCTCTGTATATATACATACATTTTTATATTTCCCTTCAAATTATACCCTTTTCTTCACTGTCCTTCAGGATTAACACTTAAGGGTGGTTGAACGGTGCAGTTCACTTCCTGCTTGTTGCAGATACAAAGAAATACCATTTATAAACTCAAATATTTTTATTTTTAGTTAATTGTTCATAGGAAATCCCCACACTGGCTTAAGATAGATGTAGCAATGTCTTAAGAGAGGGACTCTGGGAAGGCACATAACTTGTTTAGGCAAATACCTAAATACTAAGGGCCTGATTAGGCCTGGTCCCAGATATTAGCTTTCTTTTGTTAATGGAAACAGAGGATTCAGGAAGTATGAATTCTAAGAATAAACTGGTTAGGGTGATCAAAGTTTCTTAAGCAAAAAGGGAAAAAAATTGGAAAAGAGGGTTAAGAGAAAACACACATATGGAATATTAATTAAGTCACATGGTGCTATTCTACCTAACCCCACCCCAATCCCAAAATCTACTAAGAGGCATTTTTGAATTTTTATCTCCTTAGCAACTATCCCTTTGCTTTGTTTCTCTTTGGAGAAATACAACTTCCTAAATTTCAAAGTATGTGTTAGTATCATAGAACTTGAGTGAGTATGTGACAGGAGAAATGGGCTCAAAGTTTGATATATAACTCAGTAAGGTCCAATCAAACTAACTCTTGAGTTTTCACTTAAGCAAACAAGAAAAAGTTGGTATCTTTTACATTAGACTTAAACTTGGGAAGATAGAACTCTGGAACTCCTGAGGGCTATAGCACAAGGAAAGAGAATAATTTAACTGTAATGTCAATGGGAGGAAAACAATGCCTACAGCTGCATAAATCTAGAGTCATGATGACATGTAGGATGATGAATCCAGCTATAATAATACACTGAAATTTTCTATTGCGTGAGACAATAATGCCCTCCCCTTCTTTTATAATTTTTTTACATCATTCTGATATGAGGTTTTCCTCACCAGTAACTGAGAAATCCTCAATACTTCAAAAGCCATTTTAGGGCCGTTCAAGTGGCGTGTTGGTTGAGAGTTGGCTTGGAATGCCAGCTCTGAGCAGCAGAGCCCCAGTTCAGATCCCACATGAGGGCCAGTGATTCTGCGCCCTCTACAGCTAAGATGGTGAACAACAGCTCAACCTGGAGCTGGGCTGCTGTGAGTCACAGGCAATGGAGTAGGCTGCAGCCCCTGCTGCAGTAGGCTGCCATGAGCTACCATGAGTGGCTGGCAGCCAGCGTGGCTGCCGTGAGCCGCTGTGAGCAGTCGGCCAATAGCCGGTGAGCAACTGCCTCACCNGCAATGATAATACCAACATGGGCCAGTGAAGCGACGTCCTCCACAACTAGACTGAAGAACAAAAGGACAGCAACTTGTCTGTTCCCCTTCCCCGACTACCCAACACTGTTCCCCTCCCTCAATTCCCCAATAAAATCTTTTTTAAAAAGTCATTTTAACTGAAGTTCTAGAGATTTAGATACAGCTTTTTTTTTTGCTCTCCTAGAAAATATTAGCTGTTGCTATATGTTCTTCTAGTTTGACGTATGCTTATTAGTTAAAATGTTCAGTGCGTTCCCCTACATATTTCATGAATTCAAATAGATTTTAACAATCCCATTAATTAATCAAACAAATCTAACATGCATGTATCCTTTAAGAGTAGTTCAAGGATAACGCAAATTTCAACAAATATTATTCATATATTACAGGGTAGACAATTCAGAGTCGTCTGTTTGGCAGAATTCCTGAGGATTTTAATTTTATGAGGTTTTCCTATTTTCTTCAAAAGGAAAGGGCTGGTCAAATTATTATATAATGCAAAAGTATTCTTTATGACCAGATCGCCTGACTCAAGAGAAATTTCCCAAATACATGGGCCAAAGTATATGGTTAGTGTCCAGTCTCTTTTCAAGAAAGATATATATGCACTATCATTATGTTTTAATTTTTGAATTTTAAAAAATGTTTAAGTAAAACTAAAAAAAAGTTTTCTCAATTTCTATGTACAGTTGCTCCAAAGGAAATGTAGCTGCCAAATATTTATTAATAATTATTGATTGATCTGGAAACACTGATTAATCTGGCCACAAGGATAATAACCCAGAATAGAATTTTATATACTTATAAATTTTTACCAAATTATGCTTGTTTTCAATATTAACAATGCAATGAGTTCAAGTTACTAATGGTTGATTAAAAACCTTATAAGAAAGGAAATGACATACAGTATATTCAAACCCTACCAGTTAAAGATGGTCATTGAGAGG